TTTATAAAAGCAAGGAAGCTTACAAAAATATTGTAGGTTTATCATAGCCGCGACGGGTAGCAAATTAATTGCGCGATTTTCTTCTGCCGTTTACTCGCCTATTCCGGATACGACGAGTGTCGAACGGGTCAGCTTCGTGCGAACCCTCTTTTCTCAAGTTTTCACTTTGTCGTAATATGACAAAGTTCGCAAGATTAATATCAGTGTCGCGTTCGTGTACCATGCAGAAGCAGCCATCGATGAATTTCTGAGAGGAGAAGATGCGATAGACATCGGACTTCGCCGCAACAACTTTCAGGTAAGTAATTTTTTACTTATATATTTCTAAATGTAAATATTATCTAAAAGCTAGAAAAATTTTGGAATTCGAGCTTATTCAAACAATATGTCTACCTGAAACACCCTATAATAAGCATATTTGAATGCCAGGTGAAAAGATTGCGAAATATCGACAGTATATCTTTCAAGATTTCTCAAAAAAAAGGTATTATTTGAACGTGATAGATGATATCGTTGTGCAAACGATATGGTCTTGTTTGAGATACGATAAGATGACCTGAAATGTCACGCGCACTCCTCATCCTGCAGATCCTTTTACTAAACGAAAATAGTTACTGTTAACCCACAATCGTCATTTTAAGCTATATTGCAAGTTAACTTCACGATTAAAATATCAACGAGAATAAAAAAAATAATTAAAATTTCGTGGAATATTATAAAAATTTATTACTGCTCAAGAAACAATTTGTTAGATATTTTAAAGAAAGATAAAATAAGAAAATATGTACAATCTCGATTAAACTACTTTTGGAAAAAGATTTATTTTTACATATAATTTTTATAATTAGTTTTAAGAATTCTTTTGAAACGTATCTCAACATAATTTCCATAAATTTGCACCACGGTCATTCCACCACTGTTCCTTATCGACGCAAGAATCTAAGTGGCTATGCGTAAAACACCTGTATAATTGGACGAAGCGAGGTGTGAAATTGTTGGCGATAATTTAAGCGGATGAGAGGTCGCGTTGAACAATAAAACTAAAATTCCACGCTACGTAAAGAAACACGTGTTATCTTAGCTAAGCTAATCTCAAAGTTACGAAAACCATTTAAGAACTCGCTGGTATTTTAACGCGTCATATATAACTATTAATATTAATTATGCCCGTACTTTTTTAAAATACGGCTTTCATAAAAAAAGTATGATTTATATATCTCTTTGTAAGATTTTTTAAATTAATTTTTTAAAAAGTTACTCGAAAAAAATTTTAAATACGACGTTAAATTTTCCACTAAGAATTATTCAATCGAGAAAATTATCTTGTGATTATATTTCTACATAAAATTTTACCTTCATCGCCGTAATTATTCATATTGCTCTTTCTCACGCGGTGTGTGCAAAAGGGAGAGCAAAGTAAACTTAAGCTAGGAAGACAACAGAGGGATAGAGTTCCACAGAAGCCGAAGGAGGTAGTTTAAGACGGAAAAAGCAATAAGAAGCATAACAGACCCGCATGTGACATTCGAGACACTTTTTCTCTTTCCCTGGCTATCTCCTGTCGTCCTCTCGATGCCCTTTCGAGAAAGGCTTCGGTTCGTAAGAAGGAAGAGAAAGAGATTGAATCGTCTCTCTCGGCCAGCTGGTACCATCTCCCTCCGTCTTTAATCTCTCCCCGCCTGTCTCGTCTTCACGACACGAGAAGGAACTCGACGAGAGACGAGAGACCCACCCACCCCTGCCCTTTTCTTCGCCGTCGTTTTCGTACCGCAGAATCGCGCATTGTAGACTTTTTGAAAGAACACAAAGGGATGCTCTCTCTTTGCGAACCACTATGAAGTGGCCTAAGAAAACCATGAAGAAGCACCATAATGTCCATTTGCAAAAAAGGTCAACGATATATTAACTGCTCCGAAAGAATGTTCCTGTACTCTAATTTTCAATGGGTTGTGTAAACACAATTGCGACGATAAACATTATGCATTCGACAAACATTATGCATTTTTGCATTTTCAGAAACTATTTAAAAAATGTATCACAAATAATAAATGTAAAGATAACGAAGAATTATTATTTAAACGTCAAATAATTAAAACAAAGTTTGCCGCGATGTACGAAAGACTCACTTTGCCGAGAATTCAGTAGGCTAATTTCTCATAACAATCTGTCGTCGCTACTTAGAGCGCCTGTTTAGGCAAGCGTTGAAACAAGTAAACCAGAGGAAGCATGCGATGATAAAAATGAGATTGAAACGAGAACGAAAACAAGACTTTCGGACGCGAATATATCATAATAAATCATTATTATAGCAATATCAATATTATTGCAATCGATAGCTATCGCAGTAAAAATGATTATACGGCATATAATTATGCGCGATATGCAAAATTGTTATATATTTTATCGTGACAATGTTTAATGTCGCTCATATATTTCAAAGATTCCTTGATAAAACACATATTTGTTAATAAGCTCTTTTTCTCCTACATTGTTCTCGCATTTTAAAAATTTCAATAATGCGTCTATATAGAAATTATGAAAAAAATCTTTGGAAAATAAAAGAAACCGGAGACTTCTGCCACGCTAATAGGTTTATGACGAGTCATCCGCGACGGCGATGGACCATTAGACGTGTTTTTCTAGGCGCTACCTCTCCACGTAGAGATAATATTTTGACGATGCGTGGCCAGGCGGAGCCGCGCACGTTAGTCGGCGTTTAGGCTACCTTACGCAAACACGAATTTCAGACGGTCAAGTCGCAGTAATAACACTTCGTTCGCAAACAACGCGGAAGTCTCGCGCGAGTTACCAAAGTTTGCCGTGCGTAGTCGAGTTTACCGCCACGAAAAAAACTGTACTTCTTTTCTTTTTTCGTGACAGCGGCTGCCACTCGAAAAATGCACCTACGTAAATCCATTAGCGTCTCTTCATACTCCGAGATTGTGAGTGTGATACCGGCGACCGTTATGCATATTCGATTCAAGAAAAAAAATAAAAGCTTCAGATTTAAACGGCGAGCTCGAAATGAGATCAAATTATCGCGAGCGGTATCTAAATCTTAATCCCTTATAAGTGAAATAGCTTAGATATAGAAAAAGTTAAAAAAAATCAAATTCAATAAATGATAGCAGAACTTAAGAATAGAAGAAAACCAAAATTAAAATAAAAAAATATTTTTTTATATTATAACTTTCGAGCGCTGTTAAATTTTTTTACACGAAAATCTTAATAAAAAACGAAAAATATCTCAAAACTATTATCCTACAGATTTGAATTTTATCAGAATAGTGAACATTCCTCGTTCTCGATAACGGATTCACGTTTCTCAGCGCATACCACCGAGTTTGATCTCATTTCTCGTGTCGAGCTACAAACTATGTACGGTATCAATCGCATCGTATCGTATATCAATCTTATAAACAAGAAGTCCCTCTCGAATAGATCCATCTATCTATATCTCCCCGCGCATAATCTGCAGCAGGAATCTCTCGCGCAGAATCGTTAATATTCCGCCGGGTGTGTCTGCTAAGGAATCTAACATCGTAGCGCGTATTGTCCGCCGTGGACGCGCATAGACGTCCGTCGTGGACGCATACGTGAGTATAGAATCGAATACGTCTTATCGGAAGGATATCGGATATTATCGACGTGCAGTCAAATAGCCAGGACCGGTAATGGGGACCCGTCTGCTCGAAAGAAAGGAGATACGCGGGGACCGGATAACCTCGGACGTCGGATAAAGCCTGTCTACGCCGAGAAATATTTATTTGTCCGAATGCCGGGTATCCGTACGGTCTGAGGCTTATCGGATCACTCGGCGCGTTCGAGATCGGATGATTGTTCCGAGAACAGATCACAAGAGACAGTACATTCTCGTGCGCGAGTCCTATTGCGTAGATAATTTTATTAGAGTGCTTACAGTGAAGTACAAAAGCGAGTGTAATTGCCAACATTTTCGCGAGTCTTTATTCTTTAAGAAGAATTGCCTTACTTTTCGAATTACTGCTGTCGGAAATAATAATAACAGATTTTAAATTTAATTTTATATTATATCTACAAATAATGCAGCATCTTTGTCTCTTATTGCACTCAAAATATTGCATACGTTTAACGATATTTTTTTCAAGACTGGCTATAATATGCAAAATTGACTTTAAATTGCAATTATATATAGCAGCAAGTTGGGCACGATATAAATCGTACCGAATCGCGTCACAAATTAGTTCGTAAAAAAGATTCATAGATCTTTACTACGCCGGCGAGTCAACCGACACGGAAACATAAATCGCCGACTTTATCTCGCCATTGACGAAAGAAATATAAACGATGTCTACGTCCGCTTACAAAGTGATAATAATCGCGTTGCTCATAAACGGCTAGCTGGCTTTTGCCAGAGGCGGGTATCCAGAACGATTCTTGTTAAAAAAAAAAAAGAAGAACGCGCGCGGTACAGATGCGAAAATTAAATACGAACCAGGAACTTCAAACGAACGGAAGTGTAAATCTTAATAAGTGAAGCGAGCACGCCGGCGATATAAAGAGCGTGCAGAAAATCAACCTGTTGCGCCCTTCGGCGAGGCCAAACGTGAGCGTCGATGTTAATTAGCTAGGTAATTTCTAACGAGAAAGAAAGTGACATTCCAAGAATACCGTTTTGCAAGAACATTGCGTACATTTAACGAACCCTTATGTGAACAGATTGATTTCAACGCGTTGAAAAGACAGATACTAATAATGGTATTTTTCGCATGATTCATTACGGATATATTTTAAAATCGTAAAATCAATTGTTAATGCAATATTGTTGACATATTTTTAACACTAGCAAGATGGAAGACGCGTTGCAAGATACAAAATATTTCACAATGCCTATTCAATTATTTCTTATATGTGTGTAAGTCATATTTATAATTTATATAAAGCTGTTACGATTAAGATCTTGCTAGTGTTATTGAAATAGCACATTTGCTGAATTTTAATGGACTGAAAATAGTACTCACTTTCGGCCGCTGTCGAGAAATTTGTCGAATTCCACGGACATCTTGCAGCAAAGAGCCCGCCGATTGTGCGAGGATGAGCACTTGGTGTTGACCATGCGGCCGTCTGAAAACAAAGAGAGGAAGCTGAGCACAAGGTGGGCGTGCAATTAATTAAGAGGTTAATAATCATCCTGAGCCGCTGCTACGGCGGTCTAATTAATTCGGGCTGATGGTTCTCGCTTCTTCAGGAGTACTACCATCGTTTCGAGGAGAGGTATATTCCGAACGATACTGCACTCACACATATATATACGGGATATCTTTTACAAAATAATCAATATCGTGCTTCAGATATATCTGTTTCAATTTAAATTATAGCAAAGAAAAGAAATACGAAATCAAAGTTCGGTCGAGAAAGTTTGTCACTCAAAGCTTGATTATTGATTACGTATCCATACAACTCTGCGTCTCATATGATTGACTTGTTTATAACAATAACATTGTGAAATTGCGAGCTTGACTCACCAAGACACGGAGAATACCGACTACAATAATACTTCACATATAATTTATAGAGTACATCTAAAAAAATAATTATTATCAGTTTTACTGTAAAGTAAAAATGCGAATATATATCAGTAAGATAAACGTGCTTTTCCGCAAAAAAATAATTTTGATGAAAAATAGCAAACATTGTGCAATTAATAATTAATCTAAATAATTCTGTTGAAACTCCTGTAAATTCCTATGATTTCCCGAAAACGTCATTACGTGAAATTTCCAACACGAAGTTGTCAGCATCCACACCTGGGTAAACTGCGAAGAGTAGATCGAGTTCGAGTCAGGTAGGAACGGTAATGAGAAATGGCCGATGCGGAGGTGCAAACCGGTGCAGAGCGCGTGGTGAGGTCAAATGTCGGACGGTGCCCGAGGGTTCGCGTGCTCATCCCTCCTCCTGCATCTTTCCGCGCCCGATATTATCCTCCACGGAACCCGCGTCCACCCACACTTCTACCTCCGCTCATGACTAATGCGCGGGCCGAGTTATGAGCGAGGCATGAAATAATGTCGAGTTTATTAAAGGAGCGCTCGTGCGCCGTAATGATCCGCGCGAATTTTGTCATCTTTTTTTGCACGAAAGTATCCTTGTACATTCGCATTCGTCATTTAAATGAGTTCTTGATACCATCTTATCTTTCGCGTGCGAAGATCCCGTAACCGTGGCAGGTTTCCTCTTGCGATTTCTTTCGTTTCCTTTCTGGCGAACAAAAGCGGCGCTGCTATGCAACCAAAATAACCGAAACTATGCGAGCGAAGATTTGCTTCTCACCTCATTCACCGCGTAATATTATTCGCGTTCATCTTTCCGCTCTTCACTGGCCGTTTCTCATCATCCGCTTTCTCCGCCTGCTCGTCATCTGCATCCGCGCCCGAGGGTGCAATATGCATTATAGTAGGATGGCAATAATATTGCCGGTTAGAACTCGCCGTAACCATTATTATCCTGAATACTTTAAGCTCGCTACTCACTTACATGTGCGAATAATGCAAAAAAAAACAAACTCAATTATGAATTTGTATCATCTATCGAAAGCCGAAAAGTTGCAATAATAAGAAAATTTTTTAGACGCAAAATGAAACTTATATTAAGTTGCACTAAATTTCAATAATAATTTCAATTAAATTTTTCATAATTGAATTAAAATTCAAAGAAGATAACCATCGTTTATTATAAATATTAGATTTCTGATAGCAGAGATATATTTATTCCGTGACAAGAGTTCATAACCTCACGCTAAGTTTCGAATTTCCACTCATGGGAAGGCTATTGACGCGATCAATTGATCGATCGATCACTCCGGAAGCTCGTGCGACGTAACTTGCATACAGAGCCGCAAACCGGTCGATCTAGCACGTACGTGGAATCCCGTCAGGCCTATTCAAACAACTTGCACACGTGCCCTCTGCCTCTTTCGACGTATCGGTTTGTCCTTATTAGATATCTGTTATCGCGATCAGCAAGTAATTATCCGATGTCCTAACATATTTACATTCGACGTTAAACAAAACGACAAAATTCTTTACTAGCATTTATATGCTATAATCTATATAACATATTATATGTATCTGACTAAATTACTTTAATTAATTTAATTTAATTTATTCTAGAAATTCGCGATAATAAAGTTAGCAAATTAAATTAAATTTAATAAAATTACTAAGTTTTTTCGAGATTAAATTTTTAAATTTAAGTTATTTAATTTAATAAAGATTTATAATAGACCATATCTCACTTATAGTAAATAATAAAGCAAATGACATCGCTTTATTGTTGTTTCGACGCCCTCGATTCGAAGGCGCCCCAAGCAATTGCCTAAATAAACCGCACCTTAATCCGAGTCTGAACGAACGACCGAGACGCAGATATGACTAAACTTTCGAAATGATTGACGAGCGACTCGGCTTCTACGAGCGAACGAGACGAGCTCCTGCACACACGCTCGTTTCGCCAGCAATTATCGCATAAACGAGGGCGGCCATTAAGGCCCTCCGTCGTAATTACCGTGCCTCGTATTACACGAGGAATATACATACTTCGCCCGGGTTTCTTTTTTAATAGAGCCATTTATACGGAAAATGTTTACCGTGCTCGCATATCGACAGGTGTTTTCGCAATCTCAACATTGTTGATCGGCTAAACTGAAAGACTTGGCATCGTCACCGTCATTTCTTGCGCAAATCTTTCCTTTGCAGAACCGGTAACGAACGATACAAAAATATACGAGATATTATTCCATGTTTATTATTTTATATTCACGCTAAACCAAGCACGGAAAATATCTATAGTTTTTACTCCGATAAAAATAATAAAAATATTATCTCTGAAAAAATAAAAAATTGATTTTGATATAAACACATCGCGATCGACTGCGCAATAATATCAATAATAGTTTGTTGCTCGATGTTATTTTGATATGTTAAATATCGAACTATATTTCAAGATATTAATATTCTCTTAATTTTCTTTCGAGTTATTTTCGATATGTTAAATATCGAACTGTAAGATAAATTGCGAGATATTAATATTTTCTTAATTTGCGAGCGCAAATATATCCTGCGATATTGCAAACACGATAGATAACTTCGAAAGAAATATAATTAATCTTAACTCAATCTCTACATCACCTTATAAATCTTATTTTATTAATCCTGGCACGAACAAATATAGATTTATAACATGGCCTGAGAGAAGACTTATTTTTATTATGTAACTATCAAAATCAATTTTATTTAATAAAATATTTCAAGTAAATTGTAATTTATTTTTATTTTATTTATTATTGAAATACTGGTCTAAAGATAGATCAAATTTTATCATCACATTAAGAATTTACTTGTTAAATTTTTTAACAAATTTTGCAGCGTACAATTAAATAATTCTTTTCTTGGTCCACGCCGGGTTTAATAAATTTAGGAAACAATTATTGATAAGTACTCACTGGTTTGATTTTGGAAGTACGGGTCATCCCGATCGGTGAAAAACCAGGTCTGCAACAAAAATAAAAGAGAATCGTTATATTTTGATTATATACGGCAGCCTCGATTCCATCCGATACGCTACAATAATCGTGCTACAGCACGTACGCGCTTGATTGTTTACCGCAGACCGTCCGGGCAAACAGCACGCACTGTGTATCGATCATAAATTTCAGTTTCTTTCTTATCCCTTCGAAACGGATCGCTCTATCCGCGTCAGCTATACACAATAAATCTTACAGCCTTGAAGTACTTTGCGCCACTACGATTCACTCCTTCTCGTTTGTATTCGCGGAGAGAGCGAAGTCGTATAGCAACTTTCGAAAACAAAGAGCACAAAATAAAAATGGATTTTCGATAAGAAAAGGACGATGTTTAATCTTGCTACAAACGCACGCAATGCGAATAACAATACGTCTGTTATTTAGAAACCATACGAAAAAAAAATAATCTACTAATCAGAAAATATTCACGTGACGTTTCAAATATATAAAAATATTAAATGCCAAAATATTATTTGAACATGATTCTGCAAATCAAAATTTCCTCATTATTAATCTTCAAAACAAAACAATAAATACAATTTATTGATGAACATTCTTGACTCGAATCTTTGTTAAAAATCCAGAGCTAGAATTCAGAGACAAAAAGGCATACTTTCAGTCAATAGCTCCTCAAGTTACTCGCATGTTTTGTCGCGTTAGAAAATTTATATCGAAGCACCGCGAGCTGAGACTTTCCATTAGTATCTGTCGCATCGCATCCCCTTCCGTGGCAGTTGCATCTGGACTCGGAACGTATCGCAGCGTCGTTACGTTACGATCGGCGTACACTGCACGTGTTAAAGTAGTCACTTATTTTTAGTTCCCAAGAGTAGTTCCCTTCAGGAAGTGAACGAGCAAGAAGGACCGGAGGAGGTGGTTTCAGACGTCAAAAGCATTGTACCGATGATTTTCACGCGACGATATCTCATATAAGTCGCCGGGAAGGAAAAGCAAAGAACATTTCACGCGAAAACGCAATTATCAGCGCAAGCCAATTCTTTGTCGCGTATATAATTTTACATTCGCAGAAATTTTTCTCCTCGAGTAGTCCGTTGACAAAATTCTACGAGCATATAAAATTTTGGCGCTGTCCCAGCATTATATATAATCATCTCGGTATTTTTTATCGATTGATATTCATTCGTTCAATTACATATCGCGCACCAATGTTAGTTCTATTTCCATTCGAATGGAATTAAGTCGCTTAATTCGCGACTGCATCGATTGCACGATGCATTAAATAAATCACACGTAATTTAAGCAGCAGTATAATTTATAAGTGCCGAAGTGTCGATTGCGTCCCATTTATATCAGAAATATGTTCAATAAATTGCTATCACTTTTCGATAAATTTGTCGACATTTTTCACACCCACCCAGCGGATATCCGGTGCGCAATGCGACAAATGTAAAAATAGCGCAAGTAAGAAGGCACTACAATTGTGACGCGTTATCTGAGGCAGATTATCTGAGGCATGCGGATAGAGAAAAAGTGGGAGACCAGAGAACTCGTCAGCGTTCCCAGAAAGAACATGAATATCCGGCAACGAACAAACGTCGTGTACAAAAATAAGAGACGAGTGTATCGCGATGACGTCAGTGGCACCGGCGTCACATTACATCGACATAATTGCATTAATCCCGCACGTCGTACTCAAAAGAACCGTCATTAAGCTGATCTTCGAGCTTTTCGCGGAAATTCTTTCCGAGTGAGACGTTCCGAGTGTTGGTTATTTCGCTCGTAAGTCGCATCACGTACCATGATATCCACTGTCTGCAGATGTGTGAGGAGCGTAAAACCATATTAAGACTCGCTTGTTATGATTAATTAAGCGAGACAAATTTATCTTATAGCGCAGAGGAAGAAAATTTGACAATTGCTCTACCTACGCGAAGCGAGTATCGCTTCTAATCTTCAAAATAAAAAAAGTAGCCGAAATGTATTTAAAATGTTCTAAAACTTGAAATATGATTATTAGAAAGCAAATCTAACGAGGAGAAATAGATATAAATTGATTAGATGGCAATAACATTTCGCACAAGTTATATATACAGATAAATGTACAAAGAAAAATAAATAAGATCAGATATAAACATATATTCGTTCAATATTAAAGAAAAAAACTTACATCTGATATATCCGAATCTTTAAACTTTCAATCACGCTACGCCGCATTCACCTCGATATAAATTCCACGTAATCTTCAATCAGAGAGAATTGGATAAATATCGTTCGGCGGTGGCGCGTCGATTATATCGCATTGGGCCAATTGAAAAACGCGGCGGCAGCTCACGGCGTATAAGAGCAATGCAAATTAAGAGGAAATAATTCACCGAAGCGCGGCGAGTTCTCATCAACGCGCCGCGCCGCGCGAAATTGCATCGGGGCCTTTTAAGACTTGCTTAAATAACCGAAGTAATCGACCAATTATTCGGAGCCAGTTCCGACTAGTGGGATGGCTTTTGTCGATTGGGGGATTGCAGTATCGGCTGAGTCACTCCGAGTAACGACACCCGGTTTTGACTCGCGATCAACCGTCGAGGATCCTGACGAATCTTTTTATGAATCACGAAAATTTGTATCTAACCATGTCGACACCTCCGTTTAATGACACGAGAATCGAACGGCGTGACTATCAAATTCAAAGAAAGACGTAATAAGAGACGTCCGTCGAATTTGGGATCCTAATAAAGACTTGACACGAAGTTTGACCAACAGGTTTTAAAAAAAGTATCATCACTAAGCATAAAATTACTGAAATTTGATCGGCAAGATTCTAAATGAGGTGCTTTAGTAAGCCGCGCTTCTAGAATACAATTAAGTAACAAGAACTGGTTCTATTTTATCCTGCTATAATCTACGTATATTTTTATCTTCCTTTTTATGTTAATAAAACTTTTAGTTAAAATTTAATTATTAAGATATTCAAGAATAAATATTGAAGCTGTAGCAGATTATTACTTTCAATATTTTGCCAAAGAAATGTTGACTCCAAATTGAATAAATCGACAATAAAATTATAATTTTATAGCACTCAAAAAATATTCGCAGATATATTATTCACGCAATCTTTGTTGCTGGAATATTTTAATGAGACATAAACCCCAATTGTTTTCACGAGTTCTGAGCAGACTTTTGAGTTAAGCAATTTAAACAAACCGACCGGATATTAACGACTTGGCCTCATTATTACACCACCAAAATGCCGAGCACGTAAGAATGAGAAAAGAAGTAGGTGGCGAGATATATAAATGTGGCCATTAAAGACCATTAACAGCACCACAAGAGGGTGGCCGAGGCGAGAAAGCAATAAATGTGCAATCAATGTTCCTCCTCAGTGGAGCGCATTATTAAAGCGCATTACCCGCAATATACGATGTATTAATAATCAAAACACCACGACCTATCACCTCTACCTAATTTGAGAGAGAAACTTAACACCTTAATAACTGCACATGATACCCTAGCGCTAATTTTCCTTTTTTGCAACTCACAGAAGTTTAAGACTCTAAAAAGAATGAAATAAATTGTATTATGATTGAAACCGTGAAATAAGAAATACCACAACAGTCTATTATCTAAAATGCAATAAGATTTATATTTTAAATTTTAGATTTTAGATTAAAATAAATCTGAGATTTTCTCTAACGTTTCTGGATCACAGTAAATTTGTTTTATATTTTAACAATGTTATTAATTGCAAAAAATAATTATGGCAATATATTTTCATAAAATGGTTTGTGAAAAAATTTTTTTATACACTCAAAAAAATGATCTTGCAATAGCTAAAATTTTCTAGATGTAAAAAATTAACTAAAACAGATAAATGATTAGCAACTGTTGTGATATTGCATATGTAATTACTTAATCAGTTTAGATGACAGAAACAGAATATATATCTGTATTGTTTGTGAACTTTAAAAATAAAGTTTCTCTAAAGCGTCTATCTATATAAGATCAATCACGTGTTAGATCACGCAATGAATAACATTT